TGGGGTGAGCCCCCCCCTCCCCCAAACCCTTTGCTACCCCAGCCCTCCCGTGCACCGCCCCCCTCCACTGCAGAAGGGGGCCGGGGTGGCAGCAGGGGCCCCGGCTCAGCCTGCTCCCACTGCCACCAGCCTGCCCCCCCGCCCCCCCATCCCGGGGGGGTTCCACAGGGCTGGTTTGGTGGCATTGTCCCTGTCCTCGACCCCCCTGCACCCAGCGAGGGGACCCCGTTTCGGGGATGACCCTTGGAGCACCCCAAAACCGGGCAAGGGCTGCGCAGGCACGATGGGAAAAGACGTTTATTTTGGCCAAGGCATCAGCGGGCAGCTGCCAGCGCGGGGGGGACATGGGGGACACAGGGCCGGGGGGGCACAAGGGATACCCCCATTTAGGGTGCCGGAGCCCCTGGGGTCCCACTCCCTGGGGGAGGACTCTGCTTGCAGTTGTGGGTTGCATGGGGGGGCCAGGAGGGTGTTGGGGAGGGGTTGCACCCTGTGGGGTGACATGCCCCACGTGTTCCCCCCTGCCAAAAGCTGGCCGGGGTGGCACATGCTCCCCCAGTGGGACTCATGCTTTGGGATACACATGCCAGGGAGGGCTCTGGGTGGGGGGCCAGCACTGTGGGGAGGGGGCGGCTGCCCTGCCAAAGCGGGAGCCCCCCCCCCCAGTGCCGCAGCCTGTGGGTGCTCCCAGTGCTGCCGTCCCTGGGGGGGGGGGCACCCACTGAGCCAGCCTGGGTGCTGTCACCAGCACTGTCACCCGTGGTCCTGCGGTGCCCAGCGGGCAGTGGGGCCAGTGCCCCCCGGCTCTATGGCCACGCTGTCCCCGCACAAGCTCCCTTGTCCCTCATGGTCCCACGGTGCTGGCACGGTGGCGGTGACCTTGGCGGAGGCTGGTGTGGGTGGACAGCAGCGATGCTCAGTCCAGGGGGGTGATGGTGTGTGTGTGTCCCCAAGCTGGGGACACGGCAGTGGGGGTCCAGGCTGCCCCTTCTGCCCGCAGCGCATCCATTGGGGACAAGTCTCAACAGTGGCAGGGACATGGGCTGTCCCTGGGGACTGTCCCCATAACGTGTGTCCCCCCCTACACCACGATGGGGGTGTCGGAGAAGACGGAGCTGACTGAGTCTGGATCCGACACCTTCCTTTGCGCCTTGGGGCCGTGCCGGGGGGGCGGCTGGGGGGTGCCCCCCACCTTGAACCTGCCGTTCTGCCCCGGGCCGGTGGCAGAGGCCGAGCGGGACCGGCAAGGCTCCCCGGGGACACCGGCGGCAGCGTGGTTGGGGGTGGTGCTGAGGACGGAGGAGTTGATGCTGTCATCGCGGGGAGCCGGCGGCTTGTCGGCACCCCGGCAGCAGCAGCAGCGGCAAGGGGTGAGGTACAGGTAGATGAGCACCAGCACCACGCTGAGGATGCAGCCCACCAGCGTGGTGTAGGCGGTGTTGAGGGTGTCGTGGGGACCGTGCAGGGTGAAGTTGTGCACCAGCAGCTCCACGTAAAGGGTCTCATTGAGGAGGGGACCCGCCACCCAACAGGAGTAGGTGCCGGCGTCCTCGGGGCGCAGCGCCCGCAGCTGCAGGCTGCCGTTCGCCAGGAGAGCGGCACTGCCGTTACCCCCTTCCTCCAACACCCGTTCGCCTCCCGGCGTCACCCAGTGCCGGTTACGTACCCCCCGTAACCGGGTGTCGCAGCTGAGGGTGACAGTGTCACCCAGGTGGGCTTCCAGCACCGCTTCCCGTGCCTCGCTGCAGTTGAGCGGCTGCCGGCCGGCCAGGGCGAGGATACCGACGTGCGCCTGGGTGTTGGGCAGCAAGCACCGCAACTCCTCCTGGAAATCCATCACGGCGCTCAACCGGCGGCGACGACCACGGGCAACCAGCTGGAAAAGTGGGCAGTCGCAGGCCAGTGGGTTGCCATGTAGGTAGAGGCGGTCACGCAGCCAGGCAGGCAGTGCCTGCAGCTCGCCGATGGGCAAGCTGCGGAGGCGGTTGGCCGAGAGGTCGAGCAGGGCCAGCTGGGGCAGGCGGCTGCCATCGCGCAGCAGCTCCAGTGGGAAGCGGGCGATGCGGTTTTGCCCCAGGTAAAGCTTACGGAGGCGGCTGAGGTTATCGAAGGCGGTGCGATCCACAGCGGAGATCTCGTTGTTGTAGAGGAGGAGGACCTCCAGCTCGGCCAGGTCGCTGAAGAGGTTCTCCTCCAGTGCCCGGAGACGGTTAGAGGAGAGGTCCAGGTGCCGCAGGTGGGGTACGTGGGCGAAGGCTTCAGTGGAGACGAAGGAGAGCCCGTTGTGGCTGAGCAGCAAGGCGTGGAGGTGGGCCAGCCGCACCGGCGCCCAGTCGGCACGCAGCCGGCTGACGTTGTTGTGGCTGAGGTCGAGGACGGCGGTGAAGCGGGGCAGGGGGGCTGGCACCGAGCTCAGCACCGCCTGCGAGCAGCTCAGGATGTTGGAGGCGCAGACGCAGCGCGGGGGGCAGCTCCCTCCCGCGGACCCCCATGGTGACAGCAGTGCCAGCGCCAGCAGCAGAGGCATTAGTGGCAGTGGGGCCCCCGGCCCCCCGAAGCCCGCCATGGCCACACTCTGCCCCACGGCGTCACATGGGTGCTGGGGACTGGGCACCGGCATGCCCGCCACCCCCGGCATGGCGGGCTGGGGGCACGGGATTGGCTTGCACGGGGTGCCTTCGGTCACCCGGTGTCACGGCATGCACCGGGCTAGCTGCTCACCTGGTATCACGGTGCAGAGTGGCTTGGTCACCCGGTGTTGCAGAGTGGGGTGGCTTTGGCACCCCGTGTCACAGCATGTGCTATAGGGTGGCTTCGGTCACCCGGTGTCACAGCATGTGCCAGGCTAGCTGCTCGCCTGGTGTCACGGCGCAGAGTGGCTTGGTCACCCGGTGTCACGGCGCAGGGTGGCTTTGTCAGTCAGTGTCACAGCACGTGCTATGGGGTGGCTTTGGCCACCCAGTGTCACAGCCAGCACCACGGAGGGACTTTGGTCCCCTGGTGTCACGGTGTGGGGTGGCTTTGGTCACCCAATGTCGCAGCCAGCACCCTGGGGTGGCTTCGCCCACCCGTTGTCACGGCACACGCCGGGCTCGTTGCTCACCGCTGGTGTCACGGCAAGAGCTGGCTTCGGTCACCCGGTGTCCTAGCCTGGGGTGGCTTTGTCACCGGCTGTCACAGCCTGCCCGTGGGTCGCTGCCCACCCGGGTCGCAGCTCGCCCCGGGGCTCCCGCCCGCCGCAGCCCCGCTCCCCCCGCGCTGCGGAGGCGGC